ATCAGATTCTAAACTGCTGAGGCATAACAGCGTTTTTACGTTAAATAGCGCACGAAACTCTAATGATCCACCAGGTGTTTACAGATTTGTGAATTGACAAACTTTGTTTGAGGGATTTCCAGCCGAGTTGCGAATTCATAAATGGCACAACGCGACCAGTTTGTTTGATGTGAGACAACTAAACTGTTTTTAAATTGGGTTTCATACAATAAGGTCACATAAGTTACTAAAATTGAGGAACTATCAAATGCGCAGCCTTCTATCGATGGACAATGATCACGGAATAGAGCAGATGACCATCTGTCTTGCCTTGACTTGTTAGAACTGTTAATAGTTACAACAGTACCTCTGGACTATGCCAAAGTGAGCTTTAGGAACATGATAGGCGCTTGTGTCTTAAAAAATGTAGTATGAGAAACACATTCTGCGAGTCAGAATTTAACCTGTAACCAGTGATACTCAATTTTTAATGCAGTAATAATAAAGTTGATTTCAAATCAAATTTTAAAGCAAAGCTACTGGCTCTGAGTAAGACTTCATTGCCGGATGCAGACAGTATTCACCCCGAAATCCTAATCTGCTTGGCAAATCAAATGTCCAAGCCATTAGCCTTCTTATTCCAGAAGATATTCGATCACACTGCAATCCCACCGTCCTGGAAGCAAGGAGTAATTTCACCCACTTAAGATGGCGGTTGCCATAAAGATTCCGCTAACTACCGCCCTATAACTCTCCTTCCAGTGTTGTCCAAAGTCATTGAGATCGAACACCTAGAGAAGCACAATGTTTTGTTACTGAATCAATTTAGATTCCGACAGAAACGATCCTGTGCTATCAATTTGCTCATCGCTTGAGAAGAATAGACAAAAGCAGTTGTTGACGGTGATGCGATAGACTTTACTTATCTAGACTTCTCAAAGCGTTCGATCGGGTGAACCACGACATTGTGCTGCAAAAACTCTTCAATTACGATATTCGGGGCCTCATGCTTGATCGGATCAAAACATTTCTCCGACATCGGACCGTATCGGTTCATGTTTCTGATTCCAGTCCTATGGACGTTACCCATGGGGTTCTACAAGGATCTGTGCTTGGTCCGCGACTTTTCCTAACATTCATAAACGACTTCCCAAATGCTCTGTGGCCAAAGTCATTACTGTTTGCAGTTGACGCCAAAATTCAGAATACAGTGACGCAATCAGCGGGCTCACTGGCACTCCAGGAAATGCTGAAAGCAGCTCATCTCTGGTCTCTTTTGAACGATATTGAATTCAATGTGCCAAAGTGTGAGGTTCTATCCCTACGACACACATGGCGATTTTCGTATTTCCTCGGAAATGAACAACTGCCACACGCCATAAATGAGAAGGACCTGGGCATTATCATTCAAGAAAACTTAAGCTGTTCACTCAACTGCACCAAGGTGTTGAACGCAGCTGTAAAGAATGTCAGTTTGCTTAGGCGTATCTTGGTCGGTTTCAGTCAGCGCTTTTCACCCGTCCGGTATCAGCGTACATTCGCCCGCTCACATGCCATCCAGGCATGGAATCCACGGCTACAGCGTGATTGCAAAATGCTGGAGCGTTCACAAGGGGTGACCAGTAAAATGGTTTGGGGGTTGAATCGTTATTCATATTCAGGAAGACCAAAGTCATTGGGGTTATATTCCAATCACTACCGGAGCATCAGAGGAGACATGATTATGGTACACCAATTAATGCAAGACTCAAACCATCCGTGTAGCCCGCTGTTAAAATCATCACCTAACGTTTATCTTAGAGGACGTTAGTTCAAACGAGTGGTCTCAAAATTCCGATTGGAATGCCGGCGTCAGTCATTCTCAGAGTGTGTGCCATCTGGAACTCTTTCCCATCCTACGTCGTCTGTGCACCAAGCATTGAACATTTGAAACTGAGACTCGATGAAGCATTCGCATACCTTACATTCCAACATAAGTGAAGCTACGTGCAGCAGTGGAAGAATCCCGCATCATGTGGCATACTACACAATTAATTGTATGTATCACCATTTTTAGGCACAACACGAACCTACGGGCCGAGAAAAACAAGAGCTTGTAAGTTATTGCCATCATAAAACTTTCAACTTTGAAATCGAACGGGTTTGTTGTTTTGTTCAGTTTTACTAGCAGGATACCGTAGATTGAGTGTCTGTTTTATTTAGCTCAGTTTTGCCTAAAGTTTTAAGTGTTTATAAAGACAAAACATTAATAATTGACTCTTTTCTTACTTTCATGCTTATCCTGATCTCTGATTTGTTCATCCCTGTATATTAAAATTTGCCCAGGTTTTTCAAGTCCTTCACTCTGTCGTTGTGAGGGATTTCTGGAAATCGTTTTCCTGAAATGTGATGCCGCTAATTTCCGAGAACTTCACTCGAAAGTTGAAACAAACCACAAGTTTCGTCCTGTTTAAAATTCCATCGCTTAACCATTTCCGCTGTAATTCCTTGATTGCTCGTGGTACGTACCTGCTTCTGATGACTCCTGTTGCCGCCACGGTCGGATTCCACCACGAAAGTAGCATCGGTCCAATTGGATTTTGGTATGCACCGTATATTCCATAAAATGTTGGTCACAATATGTCTTTCTGTTCGCAACGGTAAACCTACAGATACCTACCGCCGACGATGCATGCCCGGTTGATAGATTCAATGCATTTGTCGAATGGTGAGTAACCCATTCACTCACTGCTCCTGTGACAGTGTATTTGAATAGCAGGGAATCAAGTTTGGAATATTCATTCTTGTTTGACTGTACATACAGTAAAAAAGATTTGAATGAAATATATTACTATTTAATAAGGCCTGTTCGCTGAGTTTGGCAGTTTGCATGCAAATGCTTCATCACCAACCAAACTGACCTATTCAGTGTTTGCTAAGTGGCAGTGTTCTTCTTGTACCCGTTCGCCAATATCTGTTCTTCTCCACCGACTTTTTTTGTCCCTTGTTCACACTGGGTTCAAGTTGGTTCGCCATTGAACTGGTACGAGGGGGTGGGGTAGGGATTTTTGTCTGGATTGCGGAACTTGGCCAGTGTTCAGGTCATGATGTGACCTCTTGTTGCGTCACTTGATCCTTAAGTTACATTGTGTATACGCATGATCCAGTTATGTGTCTGTGTATTGAGTTCAACGGTGAACCAGGTTGAACGCAGTCGAAACAAGGGACAACAATAGTTCGTAGAGTACAACAGAACACGGGGCCAGCTAATTGGATCCACTCAAGCTAGGACGAGTGAGAACAAAACCGAGTCTGGTTCACCTCAGGTGTATTTTCTTATTCACCTCGGCACCAGGGGGAAGTGACTATTGCATGAAAGCGTGCATATTCGGAAATAGTTCTAACTTTCAGTTTTTTCCAATTTGTCATTTTGAATTGGTGTGTGACTGACAGACGCAACCATATCTCTTCCGGCTGTGACCATAAAGTAACTAGCATTAGTCCCAGTTTTGGGGTACTGTCGGATCAAAAATGGGTGAGCAGGTGCAGCAGTTTACAAAGCGGTCTCGCAAATTGATCGTGCAATAACCGTGGGGAAAGAAGTGTGCTCCAGCAGCAGAAAGTCCTCGTAGTTTTGCTGTGAGACAAATAAAACTGTTCAGTCCACAAGTTGTACTGCTTCAAGAGACGGTTACATAGCTGGTAAACTTAGCACTTCAAGTTAGATATCTCTATCCCTGCAGGCGACACAAAGCCCGCACACACTCTCTCAGTGTGTTCTACCACTTTCCCGCACTCTTCCCAGGACACTGCGAGATGTGAAAGTAGAAAAACTCAAACAAGAATAAACTGAAAACAATTTGTCAATTCATCTGTAAACCTGAGGTCGAACAAATTTGCATGATTCAATATCTTCTGTTCAAAGAGGCCCATATCCTCTTTTATCCTGAATAAAACAGATCGTATGACAGTACATAAGGTTGGGTTGAAGAACGGGCAAATGAAAGTCCAAATGAATAATTCCTTGATGGTGGTGACAAAGTTGGTGGTGGGGGGGAGTGGTGGTGGTGGTGGTGGTGTTCNTGTTTACGACGGTGTAGTGCTCTGCGGTGTTGGTCTGACCAGAGGTTAACACGTAACAGACACTGAACACACCTGTCATTCTTACCTGTCCGATCTCACGGTGAAGGGGTTGGAGTAGGTGAGGCAGGGATAGCGTCACATGAGAAGGGAAGGGGTAAGCCGTTCTTTCGTGTGTGTGTGTGTGTGTGGGAGGGGGGTCATCCATACATCCAAATGCAGAAAGAAAAACGTTTCAGCGAATCTTATTCGAGTAAAAATGTCATCATCATCTGAAACCAATTGCTTTAAAATGACGGCTACAGTGTGTGCGTGTGTTTGCACGCGCCTGTTTCTTTTGTATTCAAGATAAAATAAATACCAATAACAATTTGTTCCAAACTTACCATACCGTTTGTTTTGTTTGCTTTATTTCAGTAGAATTTTAAATTTTCAAAGCAGAGATCCCTGTTCTGATGATTTGTTTTTCACCAATGAAAATTAAATAAGCACGAATGTGCATTGAAAATTGGGGATACGTCCTCACCCCACCTCCGACTAGGGGGGGGGGGGGGGGAGGAACAGTGGCGGGAGAGGAGAGTATCGAAAGTTGAATGATGCTAATCGTTCGATCACATCAGCGAAATTGTGTTTTTTCTTGGTTTTGGACATGTGCGTTTTTATGGTTCACCTGGTGCGTACCACAAGAGAAACACAATCAGAATGCCAATTGTGAAAATATGACGAAATCGAAAGCTCGGTCTGTAAGTTAGTTTTGGTCAATGAGAATAGGATGGCACGAGGTTGATGAGGTGTTGTTCTCTCTGTGGACTGACAGAAGCGATTTGACGAACGGGGTAAGTAGATGAATGGAAACTCTTCCGCGGAACTCGGCACGATCTGTATGTGTGTACGTGTGTGCGTGCGTGCGTGCGTCTGCGGACCGGAGGACGTGTGTTCCACCCAGTTTTCCACTTGTCATCTCACAATGCTTTGATCATGTGGTAGCAACAATGGTCATAATACTTGGGATCTAATGCGAGATGTTCTGCCTCAGCAAACTGTTGCATACGAGTGGTTTTAAACAACGTGTATCCGAGTTCGAGACACAACTCCTGTGGATGGAATGCAAGGGGAGGATAAAATTGAAGTTGCAGCCTCAATATGGTAGGGATGAGGAGGTTCATACAAATCAATGATTACTTCAAGTAGTTGTGATATTCTACCTCTATGTCATCATCCTTAGTAGTGATTTATATAGCTAAAGTGAATACACTGAACATCAAATATAATGCACAGGCATCGAGTAATCCAAACTATATTCATATCCATGATGGAAGACCAAAACCGATATGTGTTTGCTAGTTGGATGCAAAAGTATATTGCTATTTATAGCGAGTTATGTGAGTATAACCCCTGAAAGTAAATGCTTACAATGAACAAAAGAACAAGAGATCGTGAGTTTTAAGTTCTCTGGATCAGTTGTCAGCGCAAAGTACGTGAGGTCATATCCTCGGATAGCAGTCATATGTACAAATATATATTTATTCACATTCGAAGTTTTTCCTGTACAGAGCAAAGTGAACGTGAATATACACACATATTTACGTTATATATATATATATATATATATATCAAGAGCATATGAAGCAATATCTCCAATTCTACTTTCGAGAACATTATTATGTCTCAGTTGCTTGTATATAAACCGTTTAATTCACACACACCCTCCACCCCTGCTTCTGAGGTACACGGATGATAGCAATCGACTTGAGTGTATGGTCGCATGAATGAAATGAAACTTTCAGTTCGTAAGAATTCACAGGTACCAGTATGTCTCCACAGTGATTTCATTGTGTGTGTGTGTATGTGTTTCAGACCTCGGAAGTTCCTCGGGAGTTCTCAACTCCGCGATTTCCCCTCATTTGAGACTAAACTCTGCCTATCGGTCCACAATGTGATCCATATACCGATCGTGATGTCTGAAAAATTGCAAAACTCGACGGAGAACAATACTAGTCGAGAAAAGGGGACGCGCTATTCACCTCGGAAGCATTGGACTGTGTACCTGGCCGTTTCCATCGTGATCGGAATCCTCAGCACTGTTCACATTCATCAGGATTCACTTTGAATTATTCAATCCCCCGTCAATTTGCCACTAATGTGTTTCAAGCATAATGAGAATGAATTGCTCGATGTGCAATCATCAAGTCGAACTCACTTTTATTATTATATTACAATGATTAATCCATCGGTGAGTTGATCATTTTCTGGTTCAGAATTTTCCATCTCACCGTTGTCCCTGGCCATCTCAACGATTTATGATAAGCGGTTATTTTTTTATGTTCAACACACAGAAGTACGATGTGCATTCTCCTAGGGCATCACAGCCTAAACTGTCCCGTTTGACTTTTGATGGGTACGGAGAATCAAAGCAACCACCCCCTGGCGAACAAGAGAAGCTGCGTGCAAACACTTTTCAGACGAGCAAAAATGCACTCCAGCACTCTTCAGCTTCAAAAGGCAGAGAAAGGTCATCTTTTCGAAGTATTTCCACGTGACGGATACCCACGAAATTTCGTGCTACGCTGCTTACATTCAGCGCTCCAGGGGAGACCGACAATAATAGCCTAGGGGGAGGGAAGCCTCAAATACACAGCCAGAAGAACGATCGACAAGTAAATGAACAACACACCCATATATAAAATGAGTCTCGGAAATGGCAGGCATATTATTAAATCAATCAAGAATTTTGTTTGCACACAAAGCAACGGCAACATTGAAGGCTATCCTATCACGACCAAATGATCAACTGCCAAGAGAAGATTCCTTACACGTCATGTACAAATCAAAGTGTGAAAAATACTACGTCGGCCAAACCAGTAGAAAACTGAAGACATGACTACACGATCACACACTGGCAGTCAAAAGACACGAGGACAAGCCGCAAATCTCAGTCCACATGGATGCTGAGAATCACGACTTCGGACTGGACAAAGTAAGAATACTCGGAAGGGGAACCACAAAGTCAAAACGGGAATTCATCGAAGCACGACACTCCAAGAGGAACAACATAAACAAGCACATAGAACTGAAACCCATCTTATATTATCTAAGGAAACACTGATGACCCAAAACTGTCCCAGCCAAAACCGGCCCAGAACCAGTTCTAACCATTTTGAAACCGGTTCAAAACGGTTGGCGGTTGATCCAATAAAGTCAATCGACCAATGAGGAAAGAGGGGGCGTAACCATAACAACATAGCCCACCAACTCAGAGCAAATGGTAACCATTGACCAATAAGATTGAAGGGATGCAGACAGCCAATCAAAACCCTCAAACAAGACGCGGTTACATCGAGGACTGGCGCCTCCCCGAAGGGGCACTGATGATTTTGCCTAGCCTGGCTAAGAAACATCTCAAAACAACACTTCCAGCTCGGAGAACACACCAAAAACAACAGACTTGTACGTGTTGCATTCTCAAACGTGAAGCCAGCCCCGACTGAGGAGGACGGCTTATGTACGATGAATACACAAAGAGAGAACTTCTGTTCGGAACAGACACAAAGTGGTCATTCCCGCCGGCGGGTGGTAAAAAAAAGAACATGCATACCGACTCATTAACCTATTGAGGATGATAGCGTGTTGGTGCTGTATGCGTAGAAAGTGATGGGTTACATCTGATGTGTGTGTGTGTGCCTTGATGTTGATCCCACCCACGCCCACAGGTGGATACTATCAATTGCATGGGTTTTCTACCCCATTCGAACTCTGGTCACCTTTATTGAAATCCCGCAATGTCTGTGTTTTCTTGCAACAGCTGTGTGTATATAATCACTTGGGAAGGGAGAAAATCTGTAAAATTTTGTTTTATATCCACACTGAAGGTTATAGGTTCTGAATTAGAAGTGTAATTTAGTGATTACTGAAACAGTTCTATACAAGCACACACCTGTAAACGTACACTGACGACATACTGCGGAATGTGTAAAATTCAACTCTTTGGGAATGTTTTCTAATGAAAACAAAAAAAGTATGGCGAACAAACTTGTTGTCATAACTTCTTCTTTGGGTATTTGCAACTACGCGTGCGGTTATACGTGGGATAAAAACGAAAGCGATTGGTTCATTAGGCAAAATGGGAAAGAGAAACATTATCGGCTAATTCCTAGAGGAGTACATTGAGAGGGGAGTAGGACCAGGATGACTCCTGAGAATTTTCGATACCGTTTCTTTTTCACACGCGACGTGATTCACGTCCGATGAGGAGGGACCGGGGCAAGTTGAGTGCGGCAACCGTTTTCTTCTACCCGCATCGCAGTGAGTTCAGGATTTTTATTTTTATTGTCTCTGCTCCTATCACGTGACGTTACCGAATTTACTTCGATCTGTTGGGTGACTCTTTGTACATGACTTCAAATACATCCTTATCTTCAACAGATTTGAATATGGGTGTGGTTTGTAGCTCAGGTTGATGGTTTGTGGGGTCTTGTGTTCGCTGAGCTTGGCGTTTAGATCGCAAACGTTTCATCACCAGCCGAGGTGACATCATCAGTGCGTTGGTGTGTGTGACGATTTCACCTCGGCTGGTGATGAAACGTTTGCGATCTAAAAGCCAAGCTCAGTGAACACAAGACCCCACATCCTTAGCTATCTGGTATCTGGTATCAGCGAGGTTAGTGACAGTTGAACTAGTTACTGTTTTATTCCACCCGGTGGTTAACCAGGCCTGCTAATATTCTCTGATCTTTTGTGAAAATTGTCTTATCATTCGTTCTACCCCTCTTGGCAAACATGTGCAAGTGAAGAAATACCTAATCCTCGATGAGGAGAGGACATACAGCGCATCCTTGACGTTTGGCCATAGCATTGCTCGGCTTATAAGTGTAGGAGTCAAAGTTGCAGCTGTATACGTTTGTGGGCTTGTTTTATCCAATCATCCTCTCGGTAGACCACTAGTCGAATCTTCTTTGAAGTTGAGCTGCAAGTACAGTTCTTTAATTGATGTCCGTAATTATTTTGTGTCATAGGTTTTCTTGCTAAAACGTCTCGGGCATCTATTATTTACAAGTGTCAAGGTGAATTCATAAGGTCGCCCGTGGGCCCTGCGCTACCCGGCGTGTTAATTTCCAAACTGGAAACATACCAAATGCGGGGAGGCATCATACAACAACTTCCGCATTTTCAAATGAAACGTTCTACCCAGGATGATAGTGGGATCTTTTAGCTAAACCCATGATACTTCAAATTTTATCATTGAAATGAAGCAAAATGAAGAAGTCCATTTTCCCGGCGTAAAGCTAACTGAAAGAACTTGATGGCAAAATACGTCCTTCTGTCTACCGCAAACTGACTTGCAAAGATTAATACATACGCTTTCTCTGCTTCCTGCTCATTCAGTAGAAAAGGAATCTTGAGAGATGCTTGGCAGTCACAACCGGAAGAATCTGCTTCGACGAAATCTAGCATTTATTTCAAAACAACGGTTACCCTGAGAGGTCAATCTCAACAAGACTAACTACACCGAAAACAACAATAGAGAGTAGAATGGTGTTGTGGCGACTGCCTTTCAAGGGCGATGTAAGGCGCTGGATACAAAAGCAACGACTATAAAAGGTGATTTTCCGCGCTTATTCAGCCGTTACTGTGAGGGCAGCATTCATCAACATACCCATAATATATACGAATCACAAAAATAAACTGCCACACACACCCGCTCACCTGATCAACGGTTACGTATTCAGTTGCCTGCATCTGTGCGATGAGTTACACAGGTTGGATGATGAGGCGTTTCTCACGGAGAGTCAAAGATAACAAACCGGCATGGCTTGGCACTTGCCGCGTAAAAACAGTAAGCAGGGTAGCAGTCGTAGCTCATATCGCAGAGACAGGGCAACAGGTTGACAACGATAATTTCAGTCGTTTACCCCATACCACCGATTGGATTCAAGCTTAACCCAGGTGATCTACTTAGACAAAAACACTGCTGAGTGGAAGTTTCAGCTGCTGTTCAGTTGCAATGTTATCCAACAAAACTGTATCAAGTGACACTAGGTGATCGTAACTCACAAGCCCGTCCACACCCCTTCTTGAATTATTTGTGTGTTTGTGCGGGCGAAAGCCGATCACTTTGCTTTAGGCTATCGCTGATCGTGAAAAACAAGTTGCAATATGGACTTAACGGATGGTGATAAAGCACATTTTGCGGCCTGAAGTTTTGGGAAGCATGAGCAGAATTCCGGACAAAGCGAAAAGCAGACCGATTCAAATGCAAAGATATGCAAAGAACATTTTCTTCAACCGAATCGATCAAGGATCGAACAAACAAATTAAAGTGATGTCCGGAGCCTATCGAGTGTTTGGGAAAGAATGTTAATTTGTTTGTGTCGGCAAACGTCCAGCTCGATTCAGAGACAACCCCCTTTTGCCGTTTCCTGCCTACATGATGGATGAATACTAAGTAATCAAACAAATTGGGTCCAAGGTATCATACGTGTGATGATAGCAATCCTCCTCTAGGCAAATGTTTCACGGATTCCTAGGAGGTATCACATTATAAATAATGTATAAATTAAAGTTCGCAAACCATAATTTCAAGCAGTCACGTTGAGAAATCTAGTTGCACTCTTTAATGCAATCTGTCTACCATAGTAAATGTATGCATATTATCAGAAAAACTAAAATAAATGTACATAGTCAAATTTCCTAATTCACCAGTAGGTGGGTAGCAGGACGTGGGTTGATCGAAATTTGAGGAAAAAACGAACGAGGTTGAATAAAGTTTAATCATTTATTAGAAAAGGAACATAGGTTATCATTTAGTCATTGAATTACGGCCATACATAGGAGGCTTTAGCAAGTGTTTAAAGTACGGTCCTCAGCTCCGAACACATTTGTCAATTAACTTTATTATATTCAAGTGAACCTTCCTGGCTTCTTCAAAAGGGATGTTTTGCGATGCCTTTGTGGTATTTCCTTTGAGTTTGTTTAAGGAATGCTGCTGGGGAGCGCAAGCAGCAGGCTTTAGTCGGTTCAGTAGGCAAAAATCTAACGGGATCAAATCTGAAGATCTAGGTGTCTAGGTTTTGGGTCCACCTCTACCGATCCAATTTTGTGGAAATGTTTCCTCATAACAAGTTCTCATGGACCTTGAGTATTGGGCAACTGCATCATTCTGCTAAATATAAACCCTCTGTCTTTTTCTGGGTACAATGACTGAATATAATTTTTTGCCCAGAGTTAGAAGCAGCTGTAGGTAAGTTGTCCCAACAACTGTGGTATTAAAGAAATATTGACTCAGCAATATCATTTCATGCATCCCAAACCCTGAGGAGCTAAGTCTGCAATCTTTATTTTATATATAAGTATCTATTAATGATACAACCTACAGACAGACGAAAGGTGTTTCTGTAGGTTAACCATTTGGTTCGCTTCTGACTGTTGTTGTCGTCGCTAAACTGAAAAAATAATGAACAGCGGGACACAAAGCATCATTCTTCAATATGCCGCCGTTATGTCGACAATATCCTTTTTAACCAAAACGTTTTGCCAAATACAATATTCGGTCATTTCACCGAGCTCATCCGTAAGATAACTTTACTACTAAAACAGAAGATAGGAATGCCTTTCAATTCCTCAAAGAGAAACACAAGAAAGTATCAGATGGAAAGATGCTCCGTTTTAGCTATTTAACACAATCCAACATGAAACTCTCAGCACATCGAATTCTGAGGTGACATTCCAATCAGACCCAAGTATAACCTTTCGTAAGTAGAGCGAGACTCAGGTTTATTGCTGCCCGAGTGCACGATTGTCTGAATGAACTGGGGATTATGCATGAAGATGGAGGCCGAAGGACGGTATATGTAAATTTCATTCCGCTACTAGCAAGAAATAGACAGGTAAATGAGATAATTAATCTCAGTTTGATGATCATTCGCAGAGTAGACCATACCTATCAGTATACTGATAAAAACATTCAATGACAAGAGCTATCTCCTATGGTCTTTTTGCTTCTAAGGGAACTGTCAAGCTAGACCAACAACTTAGCATAAAGTCTCGTAAATCAAATTGAAATTATAGGAAATATTGCTTGGAAATCCATGATATATGTATTGATCTTGTGAGTTACTTATGGACGTAGTAAGAATTTTTAGTTGTTCTAGCTCTGATGTCTACAGTAAGATGTACTTTGTCTAAATTGGTGCCCGCTGCTGACCACATGTGATAACGGCTTGTACTAGCTATCATCAAACCATACACTAAAACCGGAAATATTTATTTTCCAAAACTTCTATGCACCGCTTACAGAGACGAATACTAAGCGACAAATATCGGGCTTTTTTAACTACATTATTCGCTTTTTTTAGCTTCGGTATTCATGTGTTACTAAAATGCATGTGTGATGGCTCACTTTTGTCGTCTCACACGTGTTGAGTGTTTCCACATGGGTGTAGTTTTGTTCCTGAGCCACTTTGAGAAGCTCCGTTTCCATCTTGGCTAAAATCTCGAGAGTGATTCGCTTCCATTTGGCCCACGTTGACCTTGCTTCACATTTGGGGAAATCCGTGACCGGAGGCACCATCCCGGCCATGATCACAGTCAGCGTTTTGGACGGGTTCAGTTCATTCAAATGAACTGCACTACAGAACTCAAAGTATCTTTGCAGAGCATGAAGCTTGTGATCTTTTGGCAGTTCCGGCACACTTTGCATGGGCAGACTGATCAGCGTACCGACTAGCTGTTCTTGATCCCAACATACATCTGTTGCACAGTCCTCGGGCGAATCGATCACAAACGAGGCGGTCAGAACAATCCCTTGACCCTGACAAATTGAACCCAAATAGATGGATGCGGCCAGTTTCAGGTCTGCCAGAGAAAGTTCGAAAGCTCGAGCCACAATATCATTCCGACTGAATGCTTCGACCAGCAACTCGACGATTTCGTCAAAGCTATGAGCACCTTTATTCGAGGCGTCTGGGTGCTTAAAGTTCCATTCGCGCACTAAAACGGCCTCGCCTTTTTGTATTTGTTTTCGCTGAAGAGGGAGAAAATGTAATATAACATAGTGATTTGTAGTCGAGTATTACGTAATCGAGGAAAAAGTGATTGGGCATAACAGACACTTGATTCTGACATCAATTAAAATCAAATACATGACTTGTGGCTCTAGGTTGTTGCACTAACAGAATCGATCTAAGCATTGATTTGGACAATCATTGGTTTAAATATGCATTAGCCATTATCCAAACATTTTCCATCAATTTCATCGGTGTTTTCAAATTGTTAATGATTAAGTTTTCAAGCTGTTACTGTTTTATCCACAGCAAAAATCATTTAATTTAGTTCTTTTAGATAAAAAGAAGTAGTTTGACTTTTTCCACTCTATTAATTGATTTTATTTCGTCTTTAATCATTTGAGCAAGAAAATCAATATATTAGTCTCAATTTCAAAGGTATATTCGTCATGTATATAGCAAATGAAGAGTAAACTGAAAAGCTAGGAAGCACTGGGCAGCTGTTTCCACCTGATTGGGTCTCATCAGCAGTGCGACTCCATCGACCTAACTGGAAATCGAACTATGAGGTCCCGGGTTCGATCCCCAGTTGGGTCGATGGAGTCGCACTGCTGATGAGACCCAACCAGGTGGAAACAGCTGCCCAGTGCTTCCTAGCTTTTCAGTTTACGCTTCATTTGCTATGTACATGACGAATATGAATTGAATTGAATTGAATTTGAACCAAATCTTCTATCACTCATTTGAATCATTAGTTTCAATTAGGTTTATTTATTTTGGGCGGGAACAATTTTTTGTATCAAACACGTAGCCCAGGCAGCGCTCCAACTTGCATGATATCTTTTCATTTAAATTTAAACTTCATTCGTGTAAAGGAAATTTGAAAATCCACGATCACTGAGATGAGTGGTTGAGTTCAAAATTTAGACTCTTTCTGCGTTGTAATGCACAGATGGTCATCTTACTTTTTTTCTATTTTATAGAGGTTTTTGCTTGATCAAAACATTTTGTAATCATAAATCGTCTACTATGACATTATTAAGTAGTAAAATTCGAACAACGAAACGATTTAGTTCAAGCTAAATTTAACTCTGGTACATCAATCATTTGGATAACTCACGAATAAGGTGGTTGTTTCTGGCGGTTTAGATGGTATTTTGGAATGAGGCGAACAATGGTTAGCGGAAAACGTTTCCACTTTTGGAAAACCTGAGGAGCCATTTTCTATGTGTGATCGAAGAGATTGTAGTATCTGACCAATATTTCCCGTGTGGTAGAACGTTTCCAAGTAGATTTTGAAACCGATCTGTCTCAGGCTTTCCAATGCGAGGACAGCCTGACAAAAGTGCGAAAAAAATCAAATTATTGCGATTAAAATCGGCTATTTTGTTATAACTTAAATAAACGACAATACAATTTTTACTCACCTTCACCGTCGATGATTCCTTGCTCGTAAAGTGATGAAATCGTTAAATTTACATGAGTTGTAAACCAACTCAAACTGTTAGGGTGAAAATAAATCAAATGTTAAATGTCCTCGCAAATCAAGCAAAAAAAAGCATGTTCTGGAAAGACAGTAACTGCTATATGGCTGTTTTGAATTTTCGAGGGCATCGACACCGCAATGCAACTCCATTGACCCAAACGAGGATCCAATCGGGGATCCCACGGGCGATGACCAACATGGTGGAAGACTGACCAGTATTTCTTCTGTTCCTTTCATACTCACTAAGTACACCCCTCATCCACAGTCATAAGGGTGCTAAATCTCAATGACATGTGTGTGACACGTGACAGCTGCTTCCAATAGGAATTATGGTACTGATCTAAGGTATTTCCGAGTGAGTGCACCTCATATATTGGACCACACAAAAGCACCAGCTAGGCTGTAGAATTGGCCGAAGAGCTTTCAAAGAGCATTCGAATGACAGAAATTCGCAACAATACGGTGGCCAGTCGGAAGCGTTCGATCATTTAACCTGACAATCCAAAGCACGCCAGTAACAACCACTTAGATTGGTTATGTGCAGATTGAGTTTCTCACTGATCATTTTCTTACTATTTTTATTGTTTTACATTGAATGAATTCGCTGTTTTCCTTTCACCGTTACCGCCCTTAACGATATTTGTACCTTACAAAGCAAAAAACCCGAAAGCGCAATTTAGCGCTCTTTATCTCGGTTGATGGACCAATGACTTAAGCAGTAACGCGATTTTACCAGACCATCCGCAATTAAAATTACAAATTTGCGTGTGTGTGTTTGTGTTTGTGTGTGTGTGTGAGTTGAATAAAGCTCGATGCCCCTATCTTCACAACTGCTATATGTTCTTCAAAGATATGAGGAAATATACTGAATCTCTACGCGTTTTCCTGAATTATGCTTGACTTCGTAATGATCCAGAGCAACATTTACCGATAACGAGGCTAGATTCGGTGACAACTGTATTTACGAATCCTGGTATTGCATCATTGTGAATGAACAACGTGTCTAAAATTAAAGGAGCTGTATTTTTGCCATTTTTCTGTCATTATCGTCATTAGTAATAGAATACAGAGTGACAAAAAAGTTCGTTTTTTGCGATCCCTATCTATGTAAATAAATCAGTTTGTTGTTGTTGTTATAAACAGCACTGGTTCATCACGTTCGTTCGCTATCCGTCACAAATATTCATGTCCAAATGTTACTCGTTACATTGTGGTTTTCATTTTGCTACCTCGAAAACGCTTTTCAAACCACAGGAATTTCTACAGGGTTTTCTCTTTCAAGATCAATAAACTGTGGTATATTTGCCACTGTTTGTTGTCCTCTTGAAGTCGCGATGCAAACCCACTAAGAATTCATCAGAATGAAAGCATAAGAGGAAATTGCTCGATCTGTGTACACACAGTTGGCCCACTTCTTCCTGGGGCCAGTCACAGACTGTAGATCACGGTTCACATTTACCGTTCATCGTCTGCATTCCAACAGGTATTGCAGACACAGACTGTTTTGTAACCCACAAATCCAAAGGGGCTACGCCATCCTGACCCCTTATATGACTCACGGCACCGAATTGCGATGTTATTTCATCCTGCCATCGGATAAAGTGCGCCTAAACTATCTGTCTGGGGCAATTGGCTGTAGAGGGGTTTGATCCCCACCGAGGTAAACCGGCTTAGTTGCGACGAGTGACATAGCCAGTCGTAGACAAACAAGACTGTCTGTGCGTGGTTTGGTTATAGTAGCAAGTTTTTCAGGCGGCATTGAATTTGACACGGTTCGTCTGGCCACGGGAACGACCTCAGTGAGACATAGATATCGAACGAGACATGGTTGATTGGCGGTCGATCTTGTCGGTGTGAATCCTCCTCTCAGCCAAAGTAAATGCCCTCAAAGCATTAAGGGTTTACTGAGCTTTGATGAAAGTGAACCCATGAAAGGGTCGTCAGTTTACGATGGTCCATCCGAGCTAATAATATCTGTGCGATCAGCATTTTCAGGTAACATATGAATAGTATCAGGGAGCACATTTCAAATAAAACATTTTTCCTTACATATTGATATATTTTCCCAATTATGAATCACCGAAAACGAGCTTATTCGCCACTCTTTCTTTGTATGTGGCTGCTAAGGTGCCATTTATACGGTGGCAATCTGAAGTGGTTTACTTCAAAAGATAAAAACGCCTTAAGATAACCTATTTTAGTGAAGAAGAAGACAGTCTTGAAAAACTCTCACCCGTAAATTTGATTTGCACTCATGATTTGGTGTATTTATGCAGATTTTCTATATGAAATCCATCCTATAAGTGAAATCATCAGTCGTTTGGGTTTTGTTTTTTGCCAGTTCATTCAACATTTATGCAGTTTAAGTGTTCTTCCCATCAAACCAGTTCTCATTGCTCGGGTTGACTGAATTCATTGTCTCCGTTCCGTAGGCACTTCAGATTCCGTCTCGACTGGTGATAAAACCTTTGCAAATAAACTGTGTAGCCCAGCGAAAGACGAAAATGAGTTCACTCAAACTCATTTCAACCCCATAGGCTGCGACATCAAACCTCTGCATTTGACTGAAGATGACTCACTGCTCATTGAAGATGTGCGGATGCTAAGTTGGCCGCATTTGGTTGGTACAACGAAGAGTCAGTCTGTGGAGCAATACGCGCAATCAACTGACGGAATACAATTCGCACTGCTCCCCTGCAACACGCAAAGCGATTTTGCTTGAGTGCCACGAAGCTCGTCGTAACAATTGGTTCGCTTTGAGCAATGTAGTATTCTAGATTAGTCAGGGATCATTGACTGAAGGAGCTGTTTGCTTCAAAGTCTTTCGTTTCACTTCGTAAGATAGCGTCCGCATTGTGATCAGACATCTTAAGGTATTATGAATAAAACTTAAGAAGAAAAAGGTGTGAGTCTGAATTAGCAGTGTTCAGTCTTGTTTTGGTATTCCGTAGGTTGATATGTCATCAATTGCGTAATAATACTGACAGCAGTAATCGTAACAACACTTATAATACAGTATTGATATTCTCATATCATGAAAAATGATCTTGGCATTTAAGTTTACACACAATGAAATGTTATTCATTTGATGCACGCATTCTTTTCAAATCCCCGGACGAAGGGTATTATCTACATCCACCCAGCCACCACACGATCCTTGCACAAACTGTACACTCTGTTCGAATACGAATCTAGGCGATTTTCTAGTACGTCATCAGATAGTGTATCACAACAGTACACCAAACTGTGAAAAGGTCTCCTCCATTTCACTCAATGAAGACTTTGTTATTATTACAATCAAAATTTACTGATTAGGGCAAACCATTGTTGCTCTTTGAGATTCACCTTATTCCCATTTTGTCTTTTTAATCGCATCATATTTAACACCACCCTATTTCACTGGTGGTATGCTATGACCGGGACTGGAGATATTACGCTTTTCCGAAGTGAAACAATCGTAAAAGAATTCAAGCTCACATTCGAAGAGACAATATTCCCCCGTGGATGGGATCGGATGAGGCAGGTGAATGATTGCTCAATTTCACACCCGGGGTGGTTAGTTGAAGGCCACTATCCAGCCCTCATAGGGCTAGTTCATACTGCGTTTCCGGATGACGAATTATTCTGCTATACTCCATCGGACAGGAGTGCTTGGTCTACTTTGTATCTGTTTGTATGGTGGCCTCCAGTACATGTTTTTCAATCTATAACTCCTCGATCTTAAGAATTGATTGTATATAATTTAACGCATACACCGATTGTTTTTGGAATTGGATCGAAAAACGTTTTCCCAGCTAACTCACCTTCTCGTTACAATATGTTCTTCACTATCTCGGACAAACTGGGAGAAAACTGTCAACAAGGATCCGTGCTCACCAAACGGCAGTCCGGGGACCTAACCCACTATAGTTGGTTTCCCTCCAAGAAGATCAAGGACGACATCAGTTTGATCTCCAATCAGTGGGAATTATCGACCAAACCTGGTTGACCAAAACACACCAGAGAATTTCTAGAGACTTGGTACTCTTCAATCCACTCAATGAACAGGTACATCAAACTGGATCACGTGTACACGCTAATTTAACTCAAGGATCAAATGACGTAATAAAAAGGTCGCGCCGTGACCTTCCGTTCGCCGGAGCGGAACAAAACCGCAGTTAGGACTAAAGGATAAACCCTCTCACCCTCACCTCCGCGCACCAGTTTAACCTCGAACAGAGTGAGAACAAGGGACAAAAATAGTCGGTGGAGAAGACCACATAAACGAACGGATACAAGCAGAACACTAACAATTTACAATTCACCTCGGCTGTTGATGAAACGTTCGCAAACAAATTGCCAAGCTCGGCGAACAGACGAAATGGAATTCAGTTCACCGGAGCTACGCGAACCGATTTTCAATACTACCCTATCCACTGACTTAACCATATACCCCCTTGCATTGTGACTCCTTGAAAGGTTCTCCTAAAGCCGGGCTTATTCGTTCAAAGCGTAACATCCATATATAGTCTGTTAGATCAGAATGTGTGTGTGCATTTCAATAGTCCGCTCAATATGATATTCGTTTTGTAACAAAAACAATATTGGCAATGAGCAATGAGCATCAGTGTGAACTTGTTATTTATTATAATCTCCAGTGATTTGTGTGTGACAGAGAGCCAGTTGGTGAGGTGTGAAATGTAACGGTAAATTTTACCCGTCCCCCCTCCTTCATTTGTGTGGTCAACCTTGAAGAGTCTATCGAAATCGATCAGACTGGAAAATTGAAACAACCGGAACATTTTACGGAACTCTAATGGTGTAAACATTCACATCTGCATCGATTTCTCTCCACATACTATCATAATATAACAATATGTCCTTCCAGTGACTTACCGACAGAGAATTTCCACCCAAAATGTAGAAATCTTCATCATCTCGTGGTCGAGATTTTTCCCCTGAGCTACTCAAATAATCCAGTCCCAACACATTGGCGAGGACCATTCGTGCCTGTTCTATAC